ACAAAACATGTGTATATTAATGTAAAACTGAACTGAAATTATTGATTAATACTTTGAATAAAAAGATTAAGAAAAATGCATATAGTTCATATTTATCAAATAAGCTTTTAGTCACGTGATTAAGCTTGACCGGCACAGCGTTGCCCACTTTTACATATTTTCTTTTAATTAAAATATTTTAGGAATGATTTTTTTGATTTTTTTAAAAAAATCATGATTTTTTCCAACTCTGAGTTTTTTCAACGTTGGTATACAAAATATTCCTATACAGGGTCCGGCAATAGTGCGTCGGGCATCTGTAGCTCCTAGAATAAAAAACTTGGGAATTTTGTTTAAGTGCAAACCTAAAGTATGTACCAGGATGTATTTCAGGAAAATATTTTAACTTCTATAGGGTGGCTCAAAAAAGTGTGAGTGGACCTGGATGATTTTTTTTAAATGGAACACCCTGTATATTATGGCATTTTTGGCTTCCTTTCAGATCACTTTACATAACCCTAAGATATAAATAAATATATTTCGATAGTTTCAGAGATATTAAAAAATAAATCAAAAATATATATTTTTCAGCCCTTCTTAAAATAATTATTAAAAATATAGAAACTGTCCTGAAATCAAAACTATATTAGATATTTACCTTAGATGGTCTGTTCTTACTTTGCTATAAATATAGTAATCGTAAATCATACAGGATGTTCAATATTCTACGCCAAACTTTCTAAAATATAAAATATTTTTTCTTTGTTTTTTTAAATGGAACACCCTGTATATTATATTTTTATTAGATGGATCGTTAAAAAATGAACATTTTTTGTATTTAGAGTATTTCAAAATTTTTAACGGTTTTGCAGATACGCGCAATATTATTTCATTTGGCGCTTTCAATGGTAAAATACGAGAGAAAAATCACTGGGTGGCTTTGATAAAAAATTACTGTGGAAAATGCCATATGAAATATAAAACCGCAAATATCTGCGAAACCGTTAAAAATTTTGAAATACTCTAAATACAAAAAATGTTCATTTTTTAATTCTCCGTCTATTGAAAAAATAATATACAGGGTGTTCCATTTAAAAAAACAAAGAAAAATTATTTAATATTTTAGAAAGTTTGGCGTAGAATTTTCAACATCCTGTATGTTTTGCGATTTTCATATTTATAACAAAGTAAGTACAGACTATCTAAAGTAAATACCTAATATAGTTTTAACTTCAGAACAGGTTCTTGTATTTTTAATAATTTTTTTAAGAAAGACTGAAAAATATATATTTTTGATTTATTTTTAAATATCTCTGAAACTATCGAAATATATTTATTAATATCTTAGGGTTATGTAAAGTAATCTGAAAGGAAGCCAAAAATGCAATAATATACAGGGTGTTCCATTTAAAAATAATCATCCAAGTCCACTCATACTTTTTTGAGCCACCCTATAGAAGTTAAAATATTTTCCTGAAATACATCCTGGTACATACTTTAGGTTTGCACTTAAACAAAATTCAAAAGTTTTTTATTCTAGGTGTTACAGATGCCCGACGCACTATTGCCGGACCCTGTATAATTATTTTTGCGAAAATTTATAAATGCCAATATTCGGCAAATTCGAGTGCCGGCAATATTCGTTGCATCGTTAATCGTCACATAACATTTAGACAAATTGATTTTTCTCTGTTATTAGGTTATGCTAAATAATACATTTCGCATAAAACTTTTTTCGAAATCGGAAAATTTAATCTTTTTACACACACTGTACACAATAAAGTTATTATTACTTTTTTAACTACTTATATTTTATAGTTTTAGTACGCGTAACGCATATCTTAACTATAAATAATTAATTTAAAGTCTGGGAGCATTAATTGAGTCGTTACTTTGGCAATGGGTATGAGTCAAAGTTTAACGGACTTCGCGTTATATTAAAAAATGACGAAGCAGATATCAATTTGACCGTTGCTTTAGTTAAATTTGAGATTTAACGACAAAAACTTTATTTAAACGTATTATCTCAAATAGAACAAATATTAGCATTCCTTTTATAGCCGATGTCGAATAAAATATACAGATTTTTTAATGTTTAAACAAAATTTCTTGAAAAATAATTACATATGGATTTGTACAGGGTTTTCGTGTTGTTAAAAAGAAATCGTATTTCGAAAATGACTGTTTCTAACGCAATACTAGTAATGTAAAAAAAACTACGGGGCTCAATTTTCATCTTTTTGATAGATTATAAGAAAACCAAGATACAAACAGTTCCGGAAATTCATCCTGTATTTCCGGAACTTAGAAGGCTAGGACAAATCTGTGTATAGCATTTTTAGTTTTATAAAAAAGTAGCATAGTAATGTAAAAACCGCATCTTTGTACCTCTACTCATAAACGAGAAATCCTGTAAAACACACAAAAATGGGACACTCTGTACACTTCTAACGTCCCACAAACATTTTGCGCTTTTAGTTTTTTAATAATATATAAAAAACTCATAATTCGGTCGTCGGAACACCTACTTGGCGCCATTTTTTCCTGCAACAGCTATATTTTTTCTTATGGAACACTCGGTATTTTATTTTGTTTTTGGATCTTTGGAATTATTATAAGGGTTTAATATGTTTAAAAGCTTTGGTTTTTAAGATATTTAAATATGCATGCTATAATAAAAAAGTTTATCAACACACCCTGTACAGGGTGGGTCAAATTCGACGCTTTTATATGGAAACACCCTTTTCTATAGGAGATAGACAAAAACTAATATCGGTGTCTGGAGCTCAATTTTCATCAAAAACATGATGGTGAAAACGGCATATCGATATCTGTTACCGTTTCGGTGTTACGGGGTGTTTTTCAAAAATATGCATTTTTAACAAATCGCTGTAACTTTTTTGCTATGAAAATTTTGTATTTTTAAGAAAACATTTCCAAAGCACCTTTTACGTAGAATTTAATGGTTTAAGGCATAAATTTTTTTAGAATTAATAATTTAAGAATTATCAACAGAAAATTCTATTTTTTATATGGAACACCCTGTATATTTTTAATTTATTGAAAATAATTTAAAATTACCTTTCCAAAAATATAATACACTTGATATCTTGCTCGATTCCTCTTCGAGATAGAGAGTATATAAAAATTCGCCCGCTTTAAATCAGTAGGCTTTGAACGGCACCGGCTCTAATGCAAAAAAAATCTAGCTGTGAGCATCAATTAAAACGAAAATAATATTTGCTATGAGAGATGCAGAATTTTATAACAATTTAAAGTATATTTAACCAACATTAACATATTTAAACTATATCTAATAACAATAAAAATAAATAGCAAACCAAGACATGAGATTTTGCTACAGGTGTTCGACATATCAACCGTCTTCTGTTATGGACAGACAGGGCAGTTTTTGAACATTTCTCGCGGAATTCATTAACTCAGTGGGCGTGAAAGATACCTTCTCATAACTGCTAAGTATTTCTAATTCTTGTCTAGATTATACGGAAGAATAAGGAACCTTTATTTTTCCGCAAATATATAGATAGGATTAGATCCATGGGCACTAAGTCAGGCGGCCTCGACGGCCAAGGGCTGGAATCTTGGTTGGCTATTCAATTATTCTTGAAATTGAATGCAAAAATTTGCTGATAACTTCAGCGATCAAAGGCGGTGTGTCGTCTTGCTGGAAAAATATGTTTTCGAGTCCCATTAAGGTCATATCATCAATAAAGGATCCAAAGCCTACTAGTTAAAAGTGGCGAACTTTTAAAAATTCTGTATTTCGAAGGGGATTATAACAAAATATCAAGTGTGCTATATTTTTGGAAAGGTAATTTTAAATTCTTTTCAGTTAATTAAAAATATAGAGGGTGTAAAAAATAAAAAATCAATTTTTCTGTTGATAACTCTTAAATTATTAATTTTAAAAAAATTATACTTAAACCATTAAATTCTAGGTAAAAAGGTGCTTTGGAAATGTTTTTATAGAAATACAAAATTTTCGATAGCAAAAGTTACCAAGCGATTTGTTAAAAATGCACATTTTTGAAAAACACCCCGTAACCCCGAAACGGTAACAGATATTGATGTGCGGTTTTCACCATCATGTTTTTGATGAAAATTGAGCTCCAGACACCGATATTAGTTTTCGTCTATCTCCTATAGAAAAGGGTGTTTCCATTTAAAAGCGTCGAATTTGACCCACCCTGTACATTACCTTTCAGAATTAATTCTTGTGCTCAGTTTAAAGGTAGAGAAATAAACTTTACTAAAAAATTTGATTGTTTCCTTAAATGTATACAGGGGTATCAAAAATTTCTGGTTTATTTTAAATATTTATTTGACATCAAAACTTCGTTATTTCAAATGCAATACTCTGTATTTTTTTAAATAAGTCGAATCAGAATTAAATGCTCTTTGAAACTATATAAGGGTTTCCTATACCTATCTGGCTCAGATTTTGAATAAAGAGAGATTTTCCAAGAAAATGGCAACCAAGACGTCATGGCAATTTTCTAGTGACAGTTGTAACTATTTTCAAAATCGAAATTATTTTATAGACTTCATTTAAATGTACCTATAGCAGTTTATTTTTATTTAAAATACCTACAATAGTTTAATAAATAAGTATTTATTATTTTATCAAGAAAAACGAAGAAGTAGTTATTTGATTTATATTACGATGACTTGTAGATATATTGGATTTTCTATAAAATTATGGAAAATTAATTTTCTTCACTTCCAACGACACTAGTACTTGCAAACTAATTATTCTTGTACAACCACTTGCACAAATACTTGAAACGCTGGTTACATTGTTCAATACTTGAAATCAAGTATTTGCGCAAGCAATTCTTGTCATTCGTGTCAACGCCGCTTAATACAAAATACTGTATCTATATATACAGGGTGACAAATTGTTCGAAACTTTCCATAAATCCATTAAATAATCCCTCAAAAATGATTTTTATATGCTATGAAAAACTTATGAAAAACTAATATATTCTTTTTCGATTCAGGGACTTTCTGTGGACCTAACCTCGCGCGAGAACCTCGTATCAGAGCTACGAGAGGCGGCCAAACCGTTGGCCGACAGCTGCACCCCCGAAGTATCGGCCAAAGTCGAGGCGGCCGTGGCCGAAGCCGTGACGGCCTACAACACCACCTGCACCAACTTGAAGGAGCTGTGCACCAAGTACCAGAACGCGGCGGAGCTGTGGAAGCGGTACAAGGAGGCCAGCGATCTGGTCAAAGAATGGATCGATAATCCGATGGAAGGGGTGGAGGATTTGCCGCCCGAAGAGGCCATTCAGAAAGTCAAGGTAAGGAAATATGTTTTATATTATTTTTGTTATCTATTTTTTGATAATAACATAATAATTAATTTTTGAATTATTAATGCCAGAAAGTTAAAAATATTTGAAAATATAAGCACATCCGGAAGTAACATTAACTTAAAATGTTCAAATTCTTATCTAATTAGATGCTATTTTTTTATTCTAGGAGTGGCGTCATGAACCCTATATAAAAAATGATTTATTTATTCTTTCTATAATGATGAAAAATGTTTTTACATAACCTTGTAATATTTACACATGAAATGGCCATACTAATTTCACGAACTCAATTTTTCTTTGAAATCTAGCGTTAATTGTTTTTTTTGTGAAAATCTCTAATAAAACTATACAGGGTGTTTCAAAAAACATGTGTCATCTCTCGTGGGGAGATTTCTTATGTTAACGTCTTAATATTTTTTCGATTTATTATAATTTTCTTTCAAGTACTTTTAGTAATTTGAATGACATTTGGAGGGTAAAAGTTACTAAAAGTGCTACATATTTTAATGCTAAAATAGTGTCAATTAATTCATCAGGGACGTGCATATGGGTTATCATTGGAATATTTTTCAAACAAAAAAAATATGTGCGCCACTGACTTTTTCTTTTGATATCAGAATTGTGTAGTTCCTTTAATGCCAATTAAATGTTATCTCTCGATATTTTGTTGAATTCGACCTCCTTGATGAGATAAACGCAATTTTATTAATCACAATTAATAAAATTAAAATAAAAATAAAAATAATAAATTATTTACTTTACCTCAGTTATTATTAAATATTATTACTATTAGTCCAACCTACAGCAAATTCAAATAAAAAATAATGGTATTTCAGATAATTACAAAAAAACTAATTTTAAAAAATTTTAACATCCTGTAACTCTAAAACTATGCATTTCCATACCAATGTTTAAGAAACTTTTTTCATTTTTTTTTATGAGAAATCAATGAGTACTTATTTAAAGCTTTCGCAAGTTAATGATATTAATTTTTTTTTAAAGGTTGCTATTGACTTGGATCAGGGCAAATTAATAAAATTGCGTTTATCTCATCAAGGAGGCCGAAATCGACAAAATATCGAGGCAACTTTTAATCGTCGTTAAAGTGCTTACACTATTTCGCTAACAAGAGAATAAAAAGTCAGTGGCGTTCATGCTTTTTTTAGAAAAATATTTTAGTGATAACGCATATGCACGAAACAAAGCAGAATCGGAGCTATGTTGATATGAAAAATAAATCTTATTTTTACGTGAGGAATCTCCCCACGAGAGATGGCACATGTTTTTTGAAACACCCTGTAAATTAATAAGATCTTACATCTGACTACAATAAATATTTTTTATACATTAGAAGGCTTCAATAAGCTAAACATCATTAGGGCTCTAATATTTTCTCTAAATATTTCTTCATAAACTATTTAGGACTATATTGCTCCTTTATTCTATAATAGTTTTATTATCTTATTACCTTTTTATTTACTTCTTTCTTGGACATTTTACCTGGAACAGTCTATTCATACCAATCTTATCTCTCATTCATAAATACACAACTCATTACAGAACCTATTCTTCGTCAAATTATGCATCATAAACTACTTGTTATGGCATAATTCTGATATTTGGATCGTTATAAACCGATTGTTATTGAAATGGACAATTTTAAAAGAAAAACAACCCCTAATCGAGGGTCTCACGTGCCCGTGCCTGACGTCATCGCCCATTCATAGTTTTCTCTAAGCCAAGCATCAGCTTCCCTTGCTGCATCATCCGTGATCGATCGCAGAACGACCACCCTAAGTTATTTGCGCTATTAGGGAGATTTAGCAGTTACTTTCACGATTTTAGAATATACAGGGTGTTTCCGGTTTCTTTTCTTTCAAAAAGATGGTCAGTATGAGACTATTTATCTGTAAATACTGTAAGTTTATAAAGAAAAGTTGTTGTTTTCAATGTAATTCACTTCTGTGATTCCAAATTTGCTTCTAAAATTGGTAGATTTTGGAAAAAAGGTTATAATGAAATTAAATTAATAAAGAAAATTAAAATTTCATGAATAAAGACACCTAGTTTTTAGCATATACAGGGTCCCTCATTATTTCGTGGGCATAAATCTGCTACGTATTGTTGGAATGAAAATAAGTTATTTGGACACAATTTACCTCTGTACAAAAGTGCTTCATTTGTCCGTTAGAGGGCATCAAACTTTAAAAAAATTAACAAATTTTTTTGTCGATATAATTTTAAGAACCTATATTCCGATTTGAATGAGATTTGGGGTGCCTTTGTTTTGCTAGGCGCTTTAACATTTGACTTGAAAGGTCACTGGAAGGGCGAAAACTACCCCACTCTTATATAAATTTTAGTAGAAATGTTTTCCAATGATATCTGATTTTGTTTTTCGTAAATAAATGGTCTAGGTAGTATTTGCCACATTTTTATCTCTTATAAAACGCCACCTTGCATTGCTTTAAAAACATCTTTAGGGATCGTTTTTTTTTTATTTTGACACTTGTGAAAAATTGATGAACTCTACCGTTGAAATAAATAACTAAATTGTTTTTCCGAAGCTGAATTACAAAAAAATCGCGTTAAAAAGTAGTAGGCTCTAATTAATCTAGTTGGCAAAAATGTGGAATGTGTCAGTATCACAAATGATCTTTGACAATAAGCTTTATAAACTTTAAATTAATTAACGTTTGGGTTTACTTTTGATTGTTGCTCTCTAATGGACAAACGAAGCATTATTGTATAGAGATTAATTGTGATCAAGTGACTCATGTACGTGGTTGTTCTATGTCCATTGAATATTGGGACACCCTATACATTGTGAGTCCTTAATAAGTGCTAATATGTAATATTTTCTGTTTACCGATTTTCGCATGAGTAAAAAATATCCAAGTTATTTTACTTTGAAAATTATTAAAAAAAATATTTTTTGCTTAAATTTTGAGAACCACTGGATTTTTTCTGGGTTTTCTATTTTATAATTTTAATCCGCTACCTATGTTGCCAAACTATCAAGATATTATGTTTTAAACTAAAAATTTAAAAAAATGGCAATTTTTTTTTATTGAAAAATACCAAATTTTAATAATTAATACTAAAAATATTTGCACTTAAATAAGTGTCATCCTGTATACCGGGTGCGTCTCAAAAGTGGTTCACCCCTATAACTTTTTTATTTTTTTTTTACATAAAAAAAAAACAAGATTTGGTATGGGAGTATATGACATAAATTAGGATTGATTGACGTATTCAATTATTGTTTTTGGTCACTTCCTGTTTCAGCGGAAATCACTACAACTTTTGATTTCTAAATAACACCCTAGCTATTTTTTTACTTTATTCGATAGAAAATGACACTCTGAATAGAATGATATATCATATGTCAACTTTTGGCATCTTTGCTTAAAAAATCGTTTTTTAAATTTTAATATAGAGTACCATGACTGTGTTAAAAACACTAATTTTTAATCAAGGAGCCTTGGAAAAATAGATTGATTGTTTGATCGTTTAATGTTTTTCGTGTTTTTTTCGTATTTTTAATCATATCTCAATTTTTTCAAATGGAACAAGGGTGACTCATTAGCATATTTGGAAAAATCATTTTTTGATGAATAATTTGGTACCAAACATTTGATATGTCATTCTATTCAAAGTGTCATTTTCTGTCGAATAAAGTAAATAAATACCGAGGGTGCCATTTAAAAATCAAAAGTTGTAGTCATTTTCGGTGAAACAGGAAGTGACCGAAAACAATTGAATACGTGAATCAATCGTAATTTATGTCATATACTAACATACCAAAACTCGTTTTTTTATCTGAAAAAATAAAAAAGTTATAGGGGGTGAGCCACTTTTGAGACGCACCCGGTATATGAATATTTTTTTTTAAATGAACAAACGAAAGAATCTCCAGTTTAAACTAAAGATTAAACTTTCGACTACTCTAAAGATTTACTGGAAGGTATACATTTTGGGCCTAAACTGCTAAAACTCCCTGTCTATCCAGAGGACCCTCCCCAATCCGAAATTCCTGTGGCGGAAAGCGATCTGTGGACTCTCGCCGCACACAGTCTCGACCAAACTTTATAAATAGTTGCCGGTCCGTCGCATCGTAGAGATCGACGTGCGAATATTTATAAATAACCCGATTTCGTAAATTGTTCGCCCGCAAAACTTCCTGCCGCGTCGGTTTGGCCAGAATTCGACCAAAAGTGACCGCGGTCCAGAGTTTTTCCGCCATAAAATTTGGTTTAAAATTGTCAAAAAGTTGTTTTTGTGAAACGCGCCGAAATCCTGTATTTTGAGATTTTTTATTCAAACTGACAACATTGCATGTGTTTTTTTTGTTACAAAATTTGATTTAAAAGTGTGAAGTTTCTAGTGAAACGTGCGTTCTGTATTTTTGAGCTTCTCCTGTGTTTATGTCAACGAAATTGTATAGTTAATAACGTTGAAATCACAAAACTTCAACTATCCGTGCAAATTTTGCAAAATTCTGTTAAAACTACCAAAAAAAAAACTTAGTAACGCGCAAAATGTGTTTGACCTTTTACCCTATGCAGGAATCGAAGATTTGACAACGTTCGCTACTAAAGCATCTTTATGTTTTATTGAAATTCGTCTAAAGGTGCCAAGAGACTCGGAGATTTTTGCTAATCTGATTTAAAATCGTGAAAAGATCCAGTGAAGCAGCATAAGCTGCCTACCACTGAAATTTTCCTCTATGTGTACTCCGCAGGATTTACAGGTTTGTCAACTGGAAAATAACATATTATTTGACAACTGTCATTATTTACGTTTTCATAATGCCAGTCAAAATATCCGCTTCAAATCGGAACATTTTTTTTATTATTCAGTGTTATCGAATTAAAGATTATACAGGGCGAGTCTTAAATAATTGCAAATATTTTTAGGGTTGGTATATTTTGACCCCAGAAACACGCCTATGAAGTTTTTAAGTAAACATTTTTTTTTCTTTT